GGACGAGCGTGGTGGGCGTGGCCACCGGACCCCGCGGCCTGCGTACTCGGTGTCCGCAGCCCGCCGGGAGCCGCGCACGGACCCACGCCGACCACCACTGGCTGCAGTTGGCCGAGCGGCGCCGTGCCAACCGCCCGCGGATCCCGAGCGCCCCGCGCAGGCGCGCTCTGCGCGCCGCCGGAAGTGACGGTTTCGGCTGGCGTCACGTGGAGGAGGAACGGGGGACGAGTTAGAGGGGGCTGGGGCTAGCGACGGAGCTCGGGGTCCGACCGGCGGGCGGTGGGTTGGTCGAGGCTCCCGGGCCTTCCCGGGTGCCGGCTGTCTTCCCCCGCGGGATGCACGTCACTCTGGGGGTCTTTAAAACGCCGCCTCCGCCGGAAGCGCGCCCAGGCACTCCTCGCCTCTCCTCAGAGCCACTTTGCAGTCCTTCTCCCCGGAGACCGGGTTTTCCGTGGGCGGTGGAGCAACGCGGAACTCGTGGGTTCCGGCCAGGCGTTCCAAAGTCAGGGTGTCCGCACTTGGAAGCGCTCTGCGGGTTATTTGTTGGTTAGGACAGTTTAACACTGCCCTGTGTGCAGAGTGAGGGCCAGTGATTGTGTTCAGAACAGGTATTGGCATCATCCTTACAGACCATGATCGCTTACAGCCTACCCAGTCGCCCCAGGTCATGCAGCTGTCTCCTCGTAGCCGGGACCACCCTTTAGTTCTTAGCTCCTCGCTTCGGGCCATTCTGAAAAAGTAGATTACTATCAGGTCGTGGAAGCCGACTGTTGAGAGTCGTAGACTGCAGTTGCTATCTGCAACTTAACAAAAAGGTCTGCCTATTTCTAAAAGAAAATGCCTCGTTCCTTCAGTTTCTTAAACGAGTTTCGCGGTGGAAGGCGTTTGTAGAAAGAAGCGAAATTCTCCGCTACGGCCCATTTTCTGTTTCTGGGGGCGGCAGAGTCACGAATAACCCCAGATGACTTCAAACTCCCCATATAGCCTGGGCCATCCTTGAACTGGTGATCCTCGTGTCCCCACCACCACCAGTCAGATGCTGGGATGATTAGCATGTATCACTTCCAGGCCTGGCTTGGCCTACTTACTGTGGGAAGAAAGGCCCATAGCCAGATGTGGTGGCCCAAGTCTAATCCCTGCACTGATGAGAGAGGATCTTGAATTTCAGGCCAGCCTGGACTACATAGCAAGTGCTGAGAGGTTCTAATTTCTTAAACCAAAAACCTCTTTTTTCCCCTAATGTGGCACCTTTCCAATTTTCTTAAATACAGGCATGTTAACGTTTCAAGACTCCAACATCCACCTTTGGTAAGAGTAGATGAATGAGTTTCTATCTTCACCTGTATTTCTTTACCTTTTTAATGAGATATGGGCAGAGACATTAGAAAATGCGCTTAAGCAAAAGTCTGAACTTATAATCCTTCATTCTTTCCCTCTGCTATTTGAGGACAGGCTATTTCTGCCAATGCTAAACCGCTCCAGATTTAGGCATTTCTGCCGCGTAACCCACTAAACTAAAATTCTTCATCCAAAGACCTGACCTTTAAAGTACATTCCAGCTCAGTGGAAGTCAGATTGTATGTCAGATGATTGATGTGTTGTGGAGCTTGGGGATTTCCATTTAGAATCAGCTGACCGTTTTCCTTACTGTGAAGATTCACTGTGGAGGCTCATTCCTACATTTTGATTTGTGCTTTGCAATCCAAATAATGGAGAAATTTAGTCATTTCGTGGTACTCAAAACTGGAGTCTGTTTAACAAGCAGTTTGGGCCTAATACATTTTAACCTCACCAGAATACTAGAATAGAATGTGTAATCAGTTCCCCAGCGTTGGTTTGGTAGAGAAACTCACTTCCTTGTACAAACATAACCTGACTTCAGATTTTGAAGATTAAGATTTAAGGCCCTGCTGAAAACTAGGGACTCCACCAAGGCCTGTATTTTTTTTCCAGCAAATATGAAATTTGAATATCTTCTGATTATCATAGATTATTAACTCCACAATACTCTATATAAGAGTTAATAATAAATACATCATTCTGAAAATCTTCTGCCTTATAAATAACAAAAATGCCAAACATTTGTGAACACTTTACCAAAAAAAAAATAAAATAAAATGTTGATACTGTTGTCAGGCAATCCCACCCTCCTAGTAAACTTATGGGTTAAAAATGTCTTTTTAAACCAATTTGTAAGCAAAGTTGGCACAGTAAGGGCAGACTGTAATCAGGAAATTCTAATCTTCTAGTTTTTGTGCAGAAAATTTGATAGGCACAGTCATTTCTCAATACTATACATAATTTTTACTGATTTAAAACAAGTTGTGTGTGGGGCTGGAGAGATGGCTCAGTGGTTAAGAGCACTGACTGCTCTTGCATAGGACCTGGGTTCGATTCCCAGCACCCATGTCGCAGCTACAAACCATCCTTAACTCCAGTTCCAGGGGAATGTGAAGCCCTCTTCTGATCTCCGTGGCATTGTATGACATGGGTGCACTCACATCCATGCAGGCAATACACTCGTAGACATAAAAATAATAAAAAATAATTTTAAAAAATAAATTGTGTGCTCATTTTGATGACTTGATTTTACTGGATCATGCAGTTCTGAAATGTAACATTTTTCTTTATCTGGAGTCAGGGTTGTTTCAACTACTTGAGTGACTGAGGCAGAAAGATCAGTTGAATTGAAGTAGTTAGGGCCCAGCCGTTACAACGTGGGCAGACCCCATCTTTTTAAGAAAAAAAAATAGAACTAGACAGCTGCAAAGATTGCTCAGCATAGTGACTACCACACAGGCGTGACAACCCAGGTTTGAGTTCACTGAGAGAACCGATCTCAAAAAGTAAACAAAGGGACAGGCAAAATGGCTCAGTGGGTAAAGATACTTGCACATAAGCCTGACAACCTGAGTTCAATCATGGGAGCCCACATGGAAAAGCAAACGGCTCCCATAAGTTGTCCTCTGACTTCTACATGCTCCCTCCCAAAATAAATGAATGTAAAAAAAGAAAAAGGGTTTTAGTTAAAGGGTGGTAGGACCAGCAAGATGACTCAGTGGGTCAAGGCACTTGCAGCACAATCCTGGTGATTTGAGTTCCATTCCCAGAGCCCATGTAAAAGTGGAAGAAGAGAACCAACTCCACAAAGTTGTCCTCTGAACTCCACACACACACACACACACACACACACACACACACACCACAGGAATATGTTTTGAAAAGATAAAAGGGTGAAAAATGACCAAGGAAAGATACCCAGAGTGTTCTCTGGATCTGCTTGCCTGCTCCCCATGCTAGGGTCACAGGCATGCACGGACATGTCTGGCTTTCTTTTTTTTGTTTCTCAACAGTTTCATACATGCATATAACGTATTTGGATCATATCACCCCTCTCCCCGTTCCCTTCTCTTATCCTCCTCCCACTACCCAGGAGCCCTCTTCCCAGCACTTCCCACTCCTACTTTCATGTCTTTTTTTAATACCTATTTGGTTTAATTGGGTTGCTTGCAGGTATATCCATGTGGGGTTATTTACCAGATCGTGGGGAACATACCATAAGTGGCTACACTCCTAAAGAAAAATGACTCCCTCACCTGCAGCAACCAGTAATTGCTCCTCAGCTAGGAGTAGGGCCTCCTGTACCCCTGCTCCATCCATACTGGGATGTTGACATGTTCCATCTTGTGCAAGTAACCACAGCTGCTATGAGTTCATGAGTGTGATGGCCGTCCCCTGTCCAGAAGAAAGCCTTTCTTGGAACTGCTCTCCATCCTCCAGCTCTTACATTCTGAGATGTGCTCTGAGCCTTGGGAGATCTGTGCATTAACCACTGCCCACTGCAAATAGAAGCTTTTCAGGCCAAAACTGAGAGTAGCACTAATCTGTCAGTGGAAGTAAGCTTAAATACTTAGAAGGCAAAGCAATATCAGGTTCCCAACTAGGGACTATGACCTCCTCAGCCATGGGCTTTTGATCAGGTTTGTAGTGCCAGGCATGAATTCCTTCCTGTGGAGCAGGCCTCAAATCCAATCAAAAAGTGGTTATCCCCATAATGTGCCACTATTGCATCCATGATGCCCAGCTTTTTTATGTGAGTACTGGGGATTCGTACTCAGGTCCTCATGCTTACAGAGCAAGTGCTCCTATCCACTGAGCCATCTCCCTACCCCAGAGGTGAAAAGTATGCCAAAAGATTCAGTTAAGCCATTGTGTTCTGCTCTCAATCTTGGTTATATTGTTTTATTTTGTATGTATGTGCATGCATGTGTACATGAGCACATGTCACTGTGCACATGTAGAGGTTAGAAGACAACTTGTGGGAATGGATGCCTTCCTTCCACCATCCCAGTGATTGAATTTAGGTCATCAGGATTGGCAGCAAGTGCTTTTACACCCTGAGTCATGTCACTGGCTCCCTAAAACTTGGTTTTTACTATTTTTATTTTTTATTTGTATGAGTATATTGTCTGCAGTGCCTGCAGGGAGCAGAAGAAGGTGTCAGACTTCCCTAGAGGTGGAATTATGGACAGTTGTTACCTGCCATGTGGGTGCTGGGAATCAAATCCAGGTTCTCTGCAAGTGCAGCCAGTGGTCTTAACTGCTGGGCCATCTTTCCAGCTCCTAAAACATTATTTAAAAACTTAATAATGTACTGGTTCCAAAGCAGAAATATTGGTGAATATAAAGATATGAACTGGCTACTAATATTGAAAAGGAAAGTGCTTCCACTTCCTCTACCCAGGAAAGCCCTGGATGTGTGTGTTAAGGGCTCATGTAAGAAGATGCCAGTTTCAAGCATCATATGATAGAAAAGTGACCTTTATTTCTCCTACCTCCAAATCAAATCTCA